GTGCGTGTGTGTGTGTGTGTGTGTGTGTATGTGTGTGTGTGTGTGCGTGAGTGTGTTTGGTGTGAGGGGCAAAGATTGCGCAGTCCCGGTTTTGCAGGCAGGTTTATCAGCGTGGGTTGGGGTGCTAGTGTCTCGTAACTTCATGTATATCGCTTGTTCTGTTGTTGAATGTGTTCAATATGAACTCTTATGACAGCTGTCCGTGTGCTATGTTGATTTATCTAGGGGACGGCAGAGATAAATAAGCACATCTTATGATTACACAGATCAGAAGATTTCGCGCAACACAGGGGCGTAGATAGCGGAGGGGGGGATGGGGGAAATGCATCCCCCCCCCTTATTGACGTGGGGGGATGGCGTGGTGTACAATCATCCCCCCCTACTTTCAGGAGGAAAATAAGGGATTAAAAATTTTCTGGGGGAGAACCTGCATACCCCCGCCTGTTTCTTACCACCCTCCTCGAAAACCTGCATTGGTCACTGTCGAGCGTGACAAATTGAGCACCCCTACTTCAAAAATCGTTCCGCGGCGCCTGTAGAGTACTGCTAACAAATATTATGATTATGAATATTTGTATGCATATCAAAAGTCAAATTTGAGTTCATCTGACAGGGGCGTAGATAGCGGGGGGATGGGGGTATATCTCGCCAACACTTATTGAGGTGGGGTGGCTTTCATCCCCCCTACTTTCAGGAAGAAAATGGGGAAAAACTTAATATTTTACAGACAATAAATACTGGATATTTATCTACAAATCCGTCATCGCTATTCATACTATCCTAATGTATTATTACAGAAATGGAACGTGACATAGGCCTACATCTCCTGTAAAATGGCTGTAACTCCGCTAACTCGTTCCAAAAATGACATTATTTTACTGAAACTCAGACGGTTAATTTTGGACGCATTCCCCATATACGATTTTAAATCACGAAAGTTAAATCCTTGCTTTATTCAAAATTAGAATAGACCTATTGAGAGTTGGGATATTGAATTTTCACGGGGATTGAATAGGAAAATTCAATTTCATCTTACTTTTTTTTTGGGGGGGGGATTGGGGTGCTGAGACCCGACCGGAAGTATATTTCCGATTTTGTATAAGGGGTGAAAATATGCGCTTTTTGGTTCAGATCTGGTTATTTTTCTCATATTTTTTGGCAGTTTTAACGTTCTCAGTAAAATATACGTTTTATCAAAATTTACAGGGGAGAGGATTCCAGTGCTGTAGTTGTCAACGGGAGGTCGGTAGCACGGGGCGGTCGCCCCCCCCCCACCTAGAATTTTCAGGGCAAAGGTATTTTAGCCTTGATAAGTCTGCACTGGTAACCCCAGTGAGGACATGTACATAGCACAGATTTGGTAGTAAGTATTTTAGTCTTTGGTGTCCCCAAAGGTAAAAATACTCGACTCAAGTGATGTTATTGACTCAATAACTATTCTTCATTAAAGTCTGTCTGATGATCGCGTAATCGTGAAACTCGGAGTAACAGCTAAAAGTGATGTCTTGTCTTTAATTTATCTACAGACTACAATTTATTACGCTCTGCAACTTAACGCATCGAGCACTCTACCGACAGTATAGACTCAAGCATCCAGACTTACTAATCCAAATCAAGTGTGTCTGACATGTCACCAAGATTTAACCTCCCTCAAACTTGCCTCAATTTAACTGAGGATCGAGTTACAATATTAAACATCAATGAGAATTTCTGCCTACCAATACCAAAGAGACACTATTATGATATAATATTAACTTGCTGTCATAGTCACTAGTACTTTTAAGACTATTAATGTGTGCAACTTGTGATACTGCAACAAAAAATATATTTGTGGTATTGTTTAATGCAAATTTGAATAATAATAACATTTCGTGTCATATGCGAGCAAGTCAATACAACGAGATTAACAGGTTATATTATACTGTTATCGAGAACCACATCAACTGTGATTTCTCACAAATTATATTTTAAACAAATGTTTGGAAACAGTCGTGAATCCAGTCAATGAATTACAATTTCTGGCTGTGAACGTACGAAATAATGCATATATGACAAATATTGTTCGTATAATGAATTTCTACATCTTGTATTTTAAATTGACTACGTCACGAATTTTCTATGGCGTATATTTGTAAAATTTTTGTTGCATTTTTTTTTTACATGAAAAGTAGTATACTAACGGGACTAAATGCAGGGGCTGATTCAGACCGTATTTGCCGTATTGGGAAATACGGTCTAGACTTCAAAGTGCCCTTCAAAATTTTGCGCTAAAAAATACAGAAAACAATTTGATGGAATTTGGCTATATTCTTTATTTGTTTTCTTTTTCTTCTGATTCATTGACAGGACTTGAAGGAAATCAAAATATTACATATGGTAACCAAACTAGCTTTAATATCTGAAAAAGAAGGAAAGTGCTTGAATCATTCTGCATTAATTGCTGGTATGCAAAGCGCAGGCAAAATGAAGCAGAAATAAAATTCCATAGCTATTTAGCTATTGCTGCTTGACTAAATGTGTGCTCAAATGGTGCTCATTTGGAGCACATAAATGTGCCCAGGAACCCTTGAAATTTTGAAATTTCCTGGGGGAGGCTCGCCAGACCCCACCCCAACATGTGCTTCCGCGCCTAACGGCGCCCACTGTGTGGTGGAGTGCCCTTTTTGGGGGATGTGCCCCTAAAATCTGGAAAAATACTGTCTAGCTTCAGCCCTGGATCCGCCCCTGAAATGTATCCTCAAATTCTTACCTGATAAGATTGTTTCTCAACTAGTTAAAAATCCAAAAAACCTGGGCAATTTGATATATTGATCACGACATTAAATGCTTGCTATGGGCTATGTATGAGTCACGAGTGTTTGTTCACATCGAACGGAATAGCAAAATAGGAAGTATAATGCAGCAATTTAACCATAAAAAATGAACAGAATCACTTGCATTTTGGGAAAAAGTGGACATAATTTTTTTACTTTTACTATTTACGGTGACGTAATCATTTTAAGATACATATGATATATGTATATTGTACAGGTTTGTGCACGGTACTCCTGTGCACAGTTATATATATATATAGAGAGATATTTGCGTGTAACCATTTACTATCCCGACACACATTAGTGATACAATTCATAATTTCAAAAACCGTAGTAACATTCACAAACCTATTAATTAGTTTAGTAGACAAAACAGATCAGCCAACAGAACATCACTCCTGTAACCAAAAGGAAGACTTAACCTGAGAAATTTATTGTCCAATTCAGACAGGGACATTTTTCAATGTCATTTCAACTGGATTGAACAAACACAGAAGTCTAGCAGTGGTCTATATGCACAGCATGAAGACGCTTTATCTCTGTTCTTATATTCCTTGCGATATAAGTTATAACTTCACCTATGCATTCACACCAATCTGTTGGCACATTAATAGACTACAGCTGAAACCCGATGGCTCACTCACTAGCGTGCACGATCATATGATCATATATATATATCAGGAGTAGATAATAGGGTATCTACTCCTATTATCTACTCCTGATATATACATATATATATATATAGCATATAAAGAAGGGTTCTATCTTCTTTATATTTTCTTCATCTATTATTCTTTATATGCTCTTGATTATATGCGATGATAGTAATGTGATTTTCTTAGGCAACTTGCCACCGGGAAAAACAAAACCTGTCATAATCAAGTAGTCAATATATATGGAGCCATGCACGTATATAACACGTTTGTATATATCTAGGCCATAAATTATTGCAATTAAAGTGAAACTACTATTACAAGAAGAAACTCATCTTCTAAAGCCACCTGCATGCACCTGTTCTTGGGTAAGATCTAAACCCATGCAAGCATATACATACACACCCATACTTGGCAATGACTTGTGTACAATTACATCAATAAATGTTTGCAGGTTTGTATATTTTCAAATAAATATATTATTACTATGTATATTTATGACAATAAGAGATGTCACATCTTTACAGTTCTTTACCTGTTTGCAACATATTGCAGCAGTACAACAAAGAAAACTGTCCCATAAGTCATGAGCAGAAGGAAGACACGAACAGTTTCAGTTGTTTTGTTGACAAACTGCACATATGCGCAAATTATGAGTAACACAAATTAAAGTTGATAAACCTCGCAACAAAAAGCCTATATACACCTACTGTGAGCATACTTGCACTATGCAAACATCACGAACTGTTCGCATTGAGCCAGAAATGTGCTCTAAAGATGACTATTTTGAATTACCCTGTCGGACACGGTTTTGGCGAAAATACAAATAAATTATGTTGAGCGAAGTGTCAGACGACGCTACATAGTAGCCCTACGCTAGCGCAAATAGTTCCTGGAACGAAAACACTATATTTGTTTCCTGATTGCATATGTAATGTAGATAACATGTGATTTAAACAAATTTCACAACTTCGTACCTGGTAAACATCGAACAATAAAGTATAACATGTGTTATCACAGAAAAGAACTGTTAATGCAGCACAACGTTCGCTCAGCTGTGTACCAGATGTGTAACACTGTAAACATCCTGTGGTGCTACTTTCGTAACTTTCGTTTAGATTTTATGAAGAAATGTTGTAAGTAAAGTAGCAATACAAATAGGTTGTAGTAAATTTTTGCAACATAGGCGAGCTCACAGTTGGTATATATATATGCATCTAGCTGTGAGGTTTATCCACTTTAAACAAAACAGCCACTGACTTAATTATCAGAAAGACAACACAGGCCGAAATTCTACTGGATCACACGAGCAAAGCATATCACGAGTGGCCATCGACCGAGGCCATGAGGGCAACAATAGGCACTTGTCGTCGTTTCCTGCGCTCACTACACGGGCTCGGCGCCCCGGTAGCAGGTGGGACGCACGACATTGGAGTGCAGCATCAGCAGGCCGCAGACAGCGCTGAATCCCGCGATCATGCTCAGCACCTTCAGCAGCCGATCCTGACTCGAGTTCATCTCGTGCGGCAGCACCTCGAAGAAGGTCACGTAGAGGAACGTTCCGCACGCGATGCCCTGCAGCAGCCCCGCGGCGAGCGCCGTGCTCTGGCTGCTGTCGCTGCCGTCCGTGATGCCCATCCCGATCGCGATCCCGATCGGCGACGTCACCGAGAAGACGACGTCCGAGCGGATGGTACCGAACATCGACAGGTCGCTCTGGATCAGGTTGAGGCCGAGGCTGAACGCGAGCACGCACTTGTGCAGGATCAGCGCCGTGAAGATGTCGAGCACGCTCTCGGCGGTCGACTGCAGGCCGACGGCGAGGCCCTCGAAGACGGAGTGCACGGAGAGCGCGAGCACGAGGATCATCGAGCGGCTGAACGAGCGCACGTCGTCGTTGCCTGCCTCGTCGTCCGCCTTCAGGTGACTGTTCATCTCCACCGAGCTGTAGAAGACGTTGTCGGTGGCGTTGGTGTCGGGGTGCGGCTGGTCGCTGATGCCGACGATGCTCGGGCGGCAGCAGCGGTTCCTGCAGCCGCGCGGGCACGCTCCGTTGTTTTGTGCATCGCCGAGCAGCGGCGTGGCTGCGTCTGCGTGCTGCGCCTGCGGAGGCGGAACGACTAACATTGAGGGCGTTCTCGCGCCGGCCACCGTCGCCCCGTCGTGCATCGCCCCGTCCTCGCTGTGGTTGTACTCTTCCTGGATGTTACTCATGAGAGCCTTCCTGGAGAGTGGCGGCGTCGGCGTCGGCGGGGCGCGGTACGACAGCAGGCTGCGGCGCGGCTTCGCTCTCTGCGACTGACGGTGGGAGTGGCCGTGCTGGTGGCTGCCGGTCTCCGCCGTCGCGCCGCTCTCCCTGCACGACAGCGTGATCTGCTCGATTATCAGCACGAGGAAGAAGCCAAACGACATCACAAACTCGGCGATCGGGAACGACGAGAACCAGTTCATGCTGTCGAAGACCTGGCTGAGCTTGTCGCGCACGTCCGGGAAGAGGTCGAGCAGACAGGTGGCCATGAACACGCCGCCGGCGAAGCAGCTGAGCAAGCCGACCGAGCGCATGAGCGGGCTGTGCTTCGAGAAGTTCATGTTGCGCCTAGCGAGCGACACGAACAGCAGCGGCGCCGTGCTGAAGAGAAACGTGCAGACGAGCATCGCGACGAGGACTATCGCCTTCAGAGCTTCTAAGTGCATCCTGAAACACGTTTGTCGGGATTTAGGCATTGCTAATGCGCTCAGATTGGTCTGATCGCGCGTCGCGTAGCCACATACAGTACACGACGCATTGCGCCGACTGACAATTCAACATCCATCCCCTGGAATGGATAGGTGCCAGCATCTTCAAGCACCAAGGTTGCCAGCAGCATCAACAACTAATTCCTGCTGGAAATAGTTTCTCGTGTTTGTCATTACAGTGCTCAAAATAAGAAAAAAAAAATATGGTTGTCCTGCGGACAACCCAGACATCAAATCAGGTTGTCCGCAACAATTTCTGGTTGTCCCCAAAAATATCCCCAAATCTCCTATTTTCAATCACATAATAATATGGTCAGAAAACACCCAAAAACATACTGTAGGAGCGATATCTTTAAATTTATTTTATTTCAACCTGTAAACTTAATACTTAATTTGCATGAATCAGGGCGGTCATCGTGACTAGTTAATCTTCTTTTGCACGAGTCTTAACATTAGCACAATTTTTTGGTTTATAAAAATGCAAGACATCGGGTTTTAGGGTATTCACTCATACTTAATGAGTCACATTGCAATAATATTATTATACATCAATTGGGCCGATTATGATCAGATCATTCAGATGTATAATAATATTATTGCAGTATGACTCATATGACTGGATACTAAATGACATTGGCTACAAGTATCACTACCCATTAATGATTAATCAATATGTCAGATTATATGTCTTGATCTTTATACAAAGGTTCGATACATAACGACAAGTAGCACTAAAGCTACGTGACTCTGTTATTGTTTATTTCGTACATTTTGCAGACAAGCAGTCATCTCACATCAATGTTATTTCTATTATTACTTATTATTTCGGTTACCGTATAAACAAAACCGAAAGCAATTCGGATTATGAATTAAAGTAAAGAAAGTTCTCTGCAATAGTGATAATGATTATAATAATGTTAATAATTACACTAACATGATTAATCTAAATTTAATAATGAAATTTACATGCAAGTAAAGAAATAAATGAATATAAAAATATAAAATAACTAATAAAAATAAACTAATAAATACAGTGAGATAAAATGTCAATATTGTATCCTCAACATATAATCAAAACCCAAAAGAATTTAGATACAATATTTCTAACGTTTATTCGTTGACCGCCATGACCGTTACCAACTACCCGACGCTGTGGCTCGGTAGGTGGCGACACCGTCTGTTCGCGCGGTCGCCATGGTTTCGTTTGCAGGGCCGTGTAGTCTGACCCTTGAATACTAAATGACTCTTATATCCGTTGTTTATAACCAGGGCTGTAGGCTGAGCAAATTCCTGGGGAGCAAAATTTCGTGACTGAACTGTGTAATGATGAGCGACGGGCGCAGCTCTTGATCGACGTCCATGGTGTGGTAGGGATGGGTCTGAGACAAGGCTTTCACGGATAAGTGACCAAAAACATCCCGTTAGGGTTATTTACGATTATTAGCTAAGCTTATTTTTTAATTTTGCTCCAAAATCTAAAATTCCCCCCCCCCACAGGCTACGGCCCTGATAACATACAGAATTTAGATATTACCCTACATGTTATTTATTTACTAATAGAGCACAATACATTTAGGGAGGATGATGCAAAATAAGTTGCTGCTATATAAGCTGGAAAGTGTGATAACCCAATGATCGAAAAAACCCACAATTGTTGGCATAGAACAATTTTTAAACTGCGAGTAGTGTACTAAAGAAAAAAACACAGAGGATTGAAAAATGCCATCATATGAAGCACAACGGCTGACCTGTGAATGAACTCTATGATGCATATTGATGCTGCTCACATATAAAACGCAGCACGCTACTCTAACTTGGGTTTCTTCTCTGCAGCACTAACGGTCGCGACGTCTGTATCAGCTTCACACTTCCTTTTACCTTTCTGCAGCCAAGACATGAGAGGCGTTGTAGACGATTGCTGTTTCTTTACCCCCCGACTGGGTGACGTCTGACCTTCCCTTGCCTGGCCTTGCGGTTTCGCCTTTGCGAGCCAAGATTCCAGACGGCCAGGAACGCGTTTGGCTTTTCTGCGATACACGAAATAAAATACACTTGTCACGTTCAACGTTAGAGGCGACGTGGATGCAGCTGTTACTACACGTAGCATGAAAGCATTCTCTATCATCTCTACCATCCAAGAGTCCATAATAGAGAGTCACTATGGACTGTCTCAATTATGGACTCTTGTTCTGTATACATCCAGTGAAATCAGGAGTATCTCCTTTAATCTCCTCATTGCACCACAATATTTAAAGAAAATTTTGGAAAGCAAGACACACCTGGAGTGTTTTACCTGTGTGTATCCACACTGTCCTACCTGCCATTACAGCAATGAACACGTTTACAATGGGTGACAGCGCGCGTGTAAGGCAGATATCGTGTCCACTTGCACTTACTCCTCCGCCATTCCCAACGGCTGCACACACTCGGACGAGTTGTTCCTTGAATTGTTCACTACTGTGGTTACTCGGTGCCAGGCCAACATCTCGTCAGTGGATCGGCACAACCCTGCCGCCTATGAAGGTAAAGTTACATATCTCTATATATATAATAATATATATATATATCTAATATATATTTGAGTTCGTATGTATGTATGTATGTATAATGACTCATATGACTGGATACTAAATGACATTGGCTACAAGTATCACTACCCATTAATGATTAATCAATATGTCAGATTATATGTCTTGATCTTTAAAGGGATAATAGACTCTAGGATTTTACTGCAATCAACGGTACTTACTGTATAACAAATCGCCTATACCCATACGTATTTTTTACCAGATACCTAATTTAATTGTTCCAATTAATTACACATCAACGCTACGAAATTTGAACGACACCATGACACCCGCGACCGTGCTGCCACCCCGAAAAAGTTGCGTATTTGACAATTAATTTTGCATGTTACAGACCGAGGGCTAATCACAAAAGTGTAATTATATTTATACCTAAATGCTATTTAACTGAACGATATTCATTTTAGGGCAAATTTATCCATATTATAACTGAAACTATATGACATATGTCGTTTATAAGATATTACAATCCTTTTGCTTTTAAATTAATAAATAAGAAACACCCTTGGTCTGTAGCCCTAGGCTGAAGTGGTTTTGCGCAACTTATCAGATTGTGCGCTTTGAGTGGCGCCACCGTCGTTGTAATAAAACTGTAGTTGTTAGTTTTAAAACATTTTTTAATAATATTTCTAATGGTGATTGAACCATGAAACTTTTTATGTAGCGATAATTTTAACCGAAATTAACTGAAAATAACCCTAGAACCTAAAGTAAACGATCACTTTAATACTCTCATTCAGCATTCAGTATTTAATATTACATATACATTTGTAGCAGTATATCTCTAACTCATATACATTTCAATTTTGACTGTATCATGTATGTAATGTTTTAAGTGCTCAATTAGCAACACATTTACACTTCTATTCTAACAAAGGAAAGATCAACACATCAAGCATCACTGGGAGGCTTGCTGCAGGAGGTCCTGTGTGTTGAGGGCAGGCCCATCATTGTCAGATAGTCCTTCATCATCATCTGATCTAGCAGGATCATCAGATGGGTCACGAGTGTGGACATTGCTAGTTCGTCTCCTCTTGCAGGCTTCCCACCAGTGCTGAATGGCAGTAGTTGGTCAATGCGGTGTGCCTCGCTGGGAGATTGGACATCGATGCAACACTCGGCGAGCTAATCTTTGACCTATTTACAGCTGGTATGCCCCCCGCACGCACGCCCACCGCAATCAGCAGCAGCTCCAGCTCCAATCTCCCAGCGAGCCACACCGCATCGCCGAGGGCACAAGAGTGCGCAAGAGTCGTTAGTAGCTGCCTAGAGAGTATGTTGACATATAGAGGGTTCCGCAACATATATATATATATAAGTGTCAGTGTGCACACACTACACGCCGTAATTATCGGCAATACAAGGCGAAAGAGAGTAGAGAAACATTGGTAGTAAATACATTTCGTGTTTGTTCAGCATTGCTTTTTTATTGAAAATGCTCCAAACGTCTGTGGTCCGCCTGGTCTCTCGTCACTTTACCTTGTGTTGTGATTACGCTAGGCAGCCTAAAAACGCTGTGTGGCTCTCTCTGATACCGATTGCTGCAGTTGACAACACCTCAGGAGAGCGGCATTGTGATGGATTTGCTTAATAGACGAATAAAATGAGCAGAGGTGCGTTGCTCAATGTACTTGTACAGTGCCTGAACTGGTTTCTGGAACCCTAATGGCCGGCGGTGTTGCATTGTGGGTAATATGCAAAATCGCGGAACCCTCTATAAAATGCCAATACACTTGCAACTAGCACTCATTAATGTGTGCGGACACACCCACACACGCACATGCAGAAGCACACATACACGTACCACACACATAACGCTGAGGTAACTACCATACAAACCTTGCTAGCAGGCACGCTACTGAAGTCCAGCCACGCTTCAACCTCTTCCTCACTGCTTAGTATCGCCGGGATTCGATGATGAATGTTCCGGAACCTTGGCGGTGAATCTACAGTTATCACGCTGTACGTGTACAGTGGGTCGCCTCCCTGCAAAAACACAGGCATGGAAGGATACGACCAGGGACGAACAATGATGAATTTGTCATTATTCGCCCCTGATACTACATATCCTACACAAGGCATCCATGCTTCAGTTGCTTTACGGCTCCACATATAATAATCACTAGTATGAGAAATGCGAATGATTACACACCTATAACCCTGACGCGATCAAGAATCACATGAAAAGGGAGTTCTATAACAGTGCTGAGGTTAGGGTGAGAGTGACTAGACCGATGAGAAATAAAATGTTGTAATTAAGAGATAAGCCCTACCGACACGTGGGTAGTTGTACGACACCACACTTACATTGGGAGGATGCCATACGTCAAACACACCGGCCATTGTGAGGAGGCGTCGTCGTTCGCCACAACATTTTTCCGGGTCAGATTTCACGCGTTCGTACATTTGCTTGTCCGTCTGTTCTCCCTCCGACTTTTCTGACTGTGGCGGTTCCTGTTTAATGTTTACCGACTCTGTCGCTTCCTTCTTAACCTTATTTGATTGTGGTGACTCCTGTTTCACGTTTTTTAATTGTGTTCGTTCTTCTTCGATGTTTTCGGAATGTGGCGGATTCTGTTCAACGTTTTCTAACCGTGACGTTTCCTCTTTAAGTTTTTCCGACAGTGATGGTTCCACTTTAATATTCACTAACTCTGCTGGCTGGCCCTCGTTCTTGCCTGACTGTAAAGGTTCCTCTTTCTCATCTTCTACTTCTGCTAGTTTCATTTCAATACGACTGATATCATCTGTTGTGGACTTTTCTGTAGCACAGAAAGACTCGGGAGAATTTACTTTGAAGTAAACAAAGTAAGGCTGCTTGGGGGTTGTGTCCCTTTTCCACTCGTAGAATCTGCAGTGAGCAGAAACAAATTACATGAGAAATATGAATTTATGCACTTCTGATATAATGATATAATACCTTGGGTATCTCATATCCAACCACACATGCATATATCAACCACGCATGCAGCAGTATAAAGACAAACAGTTCAAGACATATATGAGTGGCAGATACTATCAAAGCCCCAAGGACACATAAATCTACAAATATACAGGCTACTGTGTGTGGTAACAAAGTTGCCAGTCTTCAAATTAGAATAAAAGAATAACATAAACCTAAATAATAACAATAATAACAGTACCGGTATGTACAATAATAGAAAGAATAAGAGTAGAAAGGTTTTATTAGTGTTTTACAAGTGCATACCCGTCTGCCAGCACGACACATCGTCGACCTTTCTGCAGGGGATTGCGAAATGACGGTTTCTGAAGCATGCTTTCGCTTCTGCAGTTGTTCAGGCTGAGGCCAACAGTCTTTGGGTCACCCTTGTGCCACGATGGCACCAGACCCCAGCACATTGGCATCACAATTCGCTCCAGCACTGGTTCAGCCGACTTCACTTGAAAATGTTTGCCAGATACCAACACCGGGCTGTGAAAATACGCGATAGACAATGTATTATGTTCGCACACTGACACAAATATACATGGGTACGTATATATTTTAGGAAAGAGGGGTTTTTTACTCTGTATTTACTGTAGTAACTCACGTATAACAGGTTGGGGCTATGTTGTAAGAAGCATTATATTCTCCACCATTAGGTGCATCTTTCCAAGCAGGCTCTTTCCATGTGTCGTCTTTTCCTTTGTATCTACAGATCTTGCAGATATTTTTAGGATCCAATGTACTGAAAAGATTTTTAATAAGAAATTAATCAAATAGTCTCTTCATTTACTTAAAGCCAAACAAAAGTTGTGTTTTCAGTTAACAGACCACCTTCATTCACTTGCCATGGTTGGTAACGATTCCATGCAGTCTGTAGTTCCCGGAGTTACTATCCCGGCGTGGTTGTGTGAGACATGCCGACAGGGGGATGGTGTTGTCATCCGGTGTGTTCTCCTCTTCCAGGGTTGTTTTCTGATAATGCTACCTCACCTTGTTTGAGTGCTTAGGAGTGGTGTAGCTAAGGCTGGACTGGTTCCCAGGTGCGTTTGAGCCGCTAGGGCCAAGCGCAACTCTGGGCATCCGGAGCTCCGTGGGGGGCCAGGATGACAAGTCTCTCGCCAGCCGCTTGTTTCGGGCGGGCGCATAGGGGCTCTTGCGGTTCCTGACCTGTATTAACGCAGACGTGGGAGCCAGGTGGCCGGCGTTGCGAGGTAGGGGCAAGGTGCGGGTTCCATACTGCTACGTTCCCGTGTTGTTCGGCCAAGCGACAACCCCCTATGGTCCGTGGAATGTTGAACCGTACTGATTCGAGCAGTGGCTGTTGGAGGCATCCGAGGTAGTTGCATCACGTGTGTTCTCTAGCCGGCTGGTACCGCGCTACTCACCCACAGGCATTCAGATTTATTACCCTTGATCGGAACGAGTTTGGGGCTTGTTCTCCATTAGAGTGTCGGAGTTTGAGCCAGATTCCGGGGTTTTGTAGTGAAACTCCAGAATCCGCACCATTTGATGGTCGAGGGAGTGGTTTGTAAACTCCAACGTATTTCACGAGCTGGGAACTGATAGGGTTTCAGGCCTATAGGGGGAAGGCTGATATTGCTTGTGTTCACATGTTACGTAGCACGTTATGAGTGTGTTTCAGGTCATTTCAGGTCAGGCAGGGAGCGAGACGGCGAGCAGAAGATGGGTATCTGAGAGAGTCCTGATTGTCCTGTAAAGGTAATGGGGGAGAAAACGAGGTGAGTTGCACAAGGCACTGTGGTTGTGAATCACCATGCACCCATTTGGATTGACCGTGAGGGTCGAGTGTTGTCGACGGTGATAGTCTTGCGCCTGCGCAGACATGCACGGCTAAAAACTAATGGGCGCATTGCCTCCATGTTTACTGTTGCAGCCGTGCGGCAGATGTCCTGGGCAGACATGGCGGCCGTCCCGGTTGGCGAGAAGAACCAGCCACCCGGAAATGAGCACCCGGACGGCGGAGCGGAGGCCCAGAAGACGGCGTCGATGGTGCATTTTTCAAGACTAGAACTTCCAAACTGGGTTTATTCCAAACACGAACCTTTCTCCGCTATCCTGGGATTTACTATGTATCACAAATACAATACTGTGGATTAAACTAATATAACCTGTTACAAAATTTCAAAGCGACAAGTGGCGATATTTCAAGCGCCGTTTCTGTTGACCTGTGACGTACGCATTCCCAATGCGCATTATAGCGTTCGGCTAACTTCGGCTCCAAGATCGAATGCATCATGGGATGCCTGCTGTCAGTGATGACGTCACCAGAGCCAGCATGTCAGGCAACACAGGAGCCGAAGTTAGCCGAATTCTATGCGCATTGGGAATGCGTACGTCACAGGTCAACAGAAATGGCGCTCGAAATATCGCCGCTCGTCGCTTCGAAATTTTGTAACACTTACAGGTTATATTAGTTTAATACAGAGTATTGTGATACCTAGTAAGTCCCAGGATAGCGGAGAAACGTTCGTGTTCAGAATAAACCCAGTTTGGAAGTTCTAGTCTCGAAAAACGCACCATAAAACCTCCCCGAGTGAATCACTCAGGGGCTCCTCCAAAGAAAAGATTAGGCTCGCGTTGTAACCCTACTCTTGTTGGGTTACATTATTAAAAGTGAAACGGAACAATTAAACAAAACAAAACCAATGGTAATTATTACATTGGTATCTACCTTAGTGGTACCCGGTCCCTGTACAGTGTACAGTTAGTGGCATTTATAAATTATAAAATGAAAACCATTGCATTGGGTCAAGTCACCACAATGAACTAGGGTTTACAAATACTAGAGTAATAGTTAGTGATGGGAATTAGCTGGAATTTCATAATCGATTATCGGTTTCCCTTAACCGATCGATAATCGATTAATAATAGCATAGATTTAATTTAATCTTACTTTTTATATATACAATTATACATAGCATTCAATGTTATCATGTTTTATGATCATGTATTAACTCTGTGAAGGTTGCTGTATGTATATCAATGTCTGTTCCTATACAGTATTTAATCAACTTAAAAAGACATGGTTTAAATGCCTTTATTAAAACATTAAAAGCTTTAAACAAACATGATCAAGACTTGTTCTTTATTATAGTAAGTATAAGTTGTTTGTGTTCTCATAGTGTAGGCTGTGTAGCCGAGTTAATGTCCTGCCAATGGAATATCCTCTCCAACACAATGTAACAAACAATACGGAGAGTAGAATCTCATCTACGGATAACAGCTGTGGGACAGTGTCAAACCAAAACAAAGACACTGTCCAATTTGTCCATGTCTAAAAGTACACTAGTACAGCTCTGCAATCGAGTTTGCTCGTAGCTACGGATGTGTTTCTGTCAACGCTACTCTCGTAGTGCTCATTAACATTAGTCGTAAGTGTTATCGTAGCATTAACATTAACATTAACTTTACAATGTTTCTGACAACGGGCCCCTGCAGGACTTGTGCTCTACTTGTCATATCAATTCACACATCGTCAGTACAGTTCCTTGTTTGTTTGTTTTGACATTTCCGATAATCGATTATCGAATTTGAGACTATAATCGATCGATTTTCGATTATAATCGATCATCAGGACATCACTAGTATTAGTAATAGTAATAGTAATACTAATAGTAATACTAATAGTACTGCTGATAGGGTCATTGTCCCCCAGGGTACTGCCGGAACGTGCCCCGAGTACAGTCCGGTATACCGGAACGTACCCTGGTACTAAATACTACTATCTAATATGCCGGACCGTACCTCGCCTACTCCACTAAACGAGTCTAGGGAGTCGCCTACGCCTACTACCTAACTCTAACCCTAACCCTAACACTAACCCTAACCATATTAGCTAGATAGTTACCAGGGTACGTTCCGGCAGTACCCTGGGGGACATAGACCCTATCAGCAATAGTACTAGTGTAGTGGTACTGGTACCTACCGGTACTACTACTACTAGTACTACTGCTGAGAGGGTCTATGTCCCCCGGGGTACTGCCGGAACGTACCCTGGTACTATCTAACCGAACCGTACCTCGCCTACTCCACTAACGAGTCTAGGGAGTCGCCTACACCTACTCCCTAACCCGAACCCGAACCATAACCCTAATCGTAACCCTAACCCTAATCCTAACCCTAACGATATCAAATAGTTACCAGGGTACGTTCCGGTATACCGGACCGTCCCCAGGGTACGTTCCGGCAGTAACCTGGGGGACATAGACCCTATGAGCAGTACTACTACTAGTAGTAGTACTAGTTAGTAATAGTACTAGTAGTACGTAATCATATTAAAGACATACGGTAATAAAACGGTTCCAAATGAACTTTTATTTTACACGGATATAACCTACATCTTTCCTATGATCTTTCCAACCAGCAATATAAATCTTTGAATCTATTTAATATCGCGAAGGACCTTGAACAAATTCGAGGTCGGATTTACGTTTTAACTTTTAGATCGGATACCTAGGCTAGTACTAGTAGTACTAGTACTAGTAGTAGTAGTAGTAGTAGTACTGGTAGTAGTACTAGTACTAGTAGTAGTAGTAGTAGTAGTAGTAGAGCCGAGGCCCGCCGGGCCTATTCCTGAAACCCGCTCTTCTAATTGGCAATTATATTGTTATACTTACTTTTCTGAATTATGTCTATGAATAATTACGCTTTAATGGAGCTGTTAAACAAATCCCACGGCTGAAGACTGGAGTAATAAGACGCAGGTACAACACGACCCGAAACTTGGACACGGGCATAGACTTCGGTAAGTGTCATAATGGTTAGACTGGTACCCGTTCCTTCTCACAAGCTCGACATAGGGTGTCGAGCTTATGAGAAGGTACCGGTATCAGTCTACATAAGGGTCAGAGGTTAGGACGTGATTTCCGGAAGTTCACATGGCACTTCAAACTGCTAGACTGGTACTCGCTCCCACCTCGATTACTCGATTACCCATCGAGTAACTAAGCCGAGAGGTGAGACCAGGTACCAGTCTATTGAAACTGCATGCAGAGCCCCCTTCGTACCTACAAGTCATAGTATCACCAAAGATCGTAGAGTGACCACTCATAACCACTCA